CCTTTGGAGAAGGAGGGAACAGATGTTGGGGGGGGCGTTTAGTAGTTTGCCACATTATATCTTTGAAAAATTTTTTAGTTTCATTAGTTCTTAACTCTTTGTTAGAGACATCAATTTGTCTAACTTGGATTTATGTTATTTGTCCTCCTTAGTTTTCATCTCTTGTCTAATCACTTTAGCCTTTTTGTCCTTTTCATTTGTGTTTGATGTGCTTTTAAAAAGCCTGTCATTTATCCCACTAGATACTTTCTATTTTCTCTCAGATATTTCTTCTTTTTTTCCAGTTCATTTATTAATTGATAATGGTATGATTTTTTTTTCCTCTCAATATCTTTCCTTAACTCTCCCAACTCTTTTTATATCTCATTCATTCTTTTGTCATTTCACTTTTGTCTCTTTTCTTCTTCTGTTCACTGGGGTTAGCTGTCTTCTATAATATATCTTTTCATTCTCTTTAGAATATGTGCCCTTATTTCATCCTCCCCTTTTCCCATACAATTTAAATAGTTTACATCAGTTTTTAAAATCTTCTTCCTATTCATCTTTGACCAGGATTTGCTATCTAGATTTCCTATTTATATCACAACAGAATGAATCAGTTATGTTTGAGTGCCATGGGCTTCCTGTTGAACTCAGTCAATGAGGAACCACAGCAGGATACTGGAAGAAGGCAAGGGAATGGGTTCATAAATCATGTTGTGAGCCTGGGCCCTTCCATTGCTTCAGTATCTAGTTTTTCATTGTTATGTTGCAATTTTTTAAAATTAAAATTTAATTGAAAAGATCTTTTAGGAAAAAGTGATGCAAGCCTGCTTCTATCCTACTTATGCACAGATGTGAATTGCCACATATTATACTGTGATCCTTTCCTATCTGACAAAAGAGCCAGCCCTTGGTTAGTTGACTTTGGGATTAGCAGAGAATGCAGGCAATTATAGGAATATAGGAATGGATTCCACAGTACTAGAGAGTATCGAAGGATACCCAGTTTTCCTGAGTCAAGGAATGAAGAGATCTTTAGATATCTCCCCTGCTTGTCTACCCCCATGAAGATGAAAGGGAAAACTAGGATATGTTTTTCATTCTGATGAAAAAGATTCGGTTGCTCAGGATGAGGCCTATTATATGAAAAATTAATTGCTAGCCCAATTTCCTAATTAGAAAGGTTGGAATTTAGGATTCTACTCCACAATGATAAAAACATACTTCAGTTCTCCAGTTGCAATATGGGCTTCTATCCAGATAGCACAGTATTGTCACAGGGTGTTCCAGTTCATATGTAATTGGGTGGGTGGAAACATTTTAAAAACTGGTCTCATATTTTTAAGGAAAATTGGAATGCTTCTAAATGAAAGTCATGATTCTTAGGATAAAACTTGTACATTTTCATTTTTATTTTGACTTAAAATATAGAAACAAACTCTTAATAATACTGATGAATATGACTACCATACTACTCAATTTTAATTACAAAGATGCTGGTGCTAAAAAATAATTCGAAGCCAGAAGAAAATGTTTAATGCATGATTACACATAAACTATGGGCTGAAATTTTATAAGGATTGCCGAAATGCAACTGATATTAATTTTTGGCGTGGTGTTATGTCCACAAAACCTTTCAGTCACCAAAGGTGAAGTTAGGTAAAGAGGTAAAATGTGGCATTTCCAGAAGTTGAGACCCACGCCAAGTGTCCTCTTTGTGGACACGTCTTATCATAGGTACTGTCCATTTTGGGCATATGTACACAGACATGTACACATATCTTCCTGCAATCCGGAGAATTGTTGGTCAGCCAGGAGTTTCTTGAGGTATAAATATTTATCAATAATAGTGACACAAACATCATTCACGTCTTGAATAATTTTATAGTGATTTTTATATGTCAAAACTGTGGTACGCATTGAGAGCCTGAAAAGAAGTAAAAGCCCTAACAATCTGCCCTAGAGAAGTTTCATAATATATAGAGAAAAAAATAACAATATTCCAGAAAAAATTGAGATTGTTTATAATCAAGTAACTAATTAATAGCAACAAACAAATAAACAAATAAAAAAGAAGCACTCAAGGGGAGTTCTAGTCCAGAGGAAGAAAAGAGCATAATAAGCTGAAGACAGAGAAATTATTCAAGAATATCTATATGTGTGGCACTTTGCTGGGGACTGTACACGTTGAATTAAATAGTGTCATTATCTTTTAGATTAGAAATTAATAATTAAAGACAGAAATAATAAGTCATAAATATAGCAAATACAGAGCATTAAATTAGTAATAATTTACAGATTAATGTAAGAGGTGATGAAGGAAGAAGAATCTTAGAAATTGTATTGTAAAAAAAATTACTCCCTTCTCTTGATTACAAAAATTGCATGCCTTGCTGAAGAGGTGGGTTTTCTGTAGCTATACAATTCCACATTAAAGCCTTTTTCAAAGAAATATTAGTAGAGAGTGTGTTTTTGATATTACATCAATAAGAAATGAAGTCTACAGTATTGTCCTGAAACCAAAAAATTGCTCACTCCTCTGATGGCCATTGGTTTTAACTGCCTCAGACACATAGTTTTGCAAATGCTTCATCCCAAATTACACATTTCATTTGTGGAATTCACTGGCAAACACTTGTGCCTCTTAGAATTGCCAACTTCTATATTCAGAGTAGAAATCATCCATAGATTATCACTGAATGACATTAGACCAGGGGCTAGGACACATTGGTTCTATTTCTGGCTTTGACATTTTCCTTGATAATGGCTCACCAAAACAATATCGTTGTGTCACTAACAAAGTCAAAACTCACGTTTTGAGGATATAGTTCTCAATTTTTAAAATGTCTTGCCTACACTGCGAGAATTATAGTGTACAAGATTTTCTTGTAGTTGTTATTAGTATAGCTGTAGTAATTTTTGAGGCTATTTCTAGAGAAACTCTAAATTGTTAGATTATAGAAAATCCACACATTTATTAACTCTGATCGAAAGAGGAAAATATCAGCCTTTCAAAGTATACAAAGCTAGAATTACTGTTAGGTCTTGCTTACCCACAATATTTGGGATAAAGAAAACAATCAAGATATCAATTGTGAAACCCACGGTTAATTTCAAATCTCTTTTCAGTTATAATAATCCCAAACCTGTTGTTTCACCAAGTCTCATTGGGGTGGTTAACAAGCAGCCACGTTATTTAAGTTTGGCTCTTTTTCCTTTCTCTTGCCCTCCCTCTGGTGGAGGTGTTACTGAGTGAAATGCCCAGGATGGGCAGCTGGAGAGAACACCAAGTGTTGGCATTCTCCATCAAGTATACCATTAGCCTTTGGACTGGAGAATGGCTGATGGCTGCCACTTCCCAGATGCCTCCACTTTGGTCAACTCATAAATACGAATAAAACGTTATAAAGAGTAGGGTTCCTGTTGGGGAAACAGGACAATTTCTTGCTTCATAATACTACTTTAATTGGAATGATGTGTTTACCTTTTTTAAAGCTCCTTTATATTTATTATCTCATTTGATGCTCTCAGCAGCCCAGCAAGGCAGTCATATTCTGAGGTCCCAGTAGAGAACTAGGACCGAGGTTTCCCAAATTTTAGTATGTGCTTTTCGTCTTTCTCTATCCAGATAGCCTAATACACATAAGATACATATGATAGCCACTTATTGTAAAGGTTCTTAAAAACATTCCCAAATTTTGAAACATCATAATGATACCTATCCTAACTCACATAAGATCCATATGATAGTAAATTATCATATTGGTTCCTAAAAACATCCCCAAACACTGGAACATCATACTCATACTGATCCCAGAGGGATAGGATTAAATTCGTACCCACAAAGCACAATAATTAGCATATAGTAAGCTAAGTGTTAGCTGTTGTTATTAAAAACCATGTTATAGGGAGTACAGTGCTGTGGAGCTTACCCTCTGGGCTTTAATCCTGGCTCTGCCACACGCCTACCTCATTAAGTTGTGTATAAGCTCCTTGAAGAATATGGAGCACGGAGGCAGCACTATATAGACGGTAGTCACTATTATTACTTGATAGCTCTAGTATATATACACGTAAGTAATAACGTGCTCTAAGTCATATGGTAAATGATAAAGCTAGATTGTAATCTTGATCCTTCCACCTATCTCTTATAGAAATGTCTTTCTAGGTTATATTAATTCCCCACAATTCCTAAAATGTGTTTTATCTTCTTTTCATGTCTCCTTCCCTGGAGACATGCAATTTATATTTACCCTCCTTTACCAAACTGAAAACCCTTCTCGAAATCAACATTTATAAAAATTTCCATTACAAAAATCTTAACCCTGCATGTCCTCAGCTGTTAGATGCTCAGTTTATGTCACATTTGCATTTGTAAGAAGCTGTTTTATGCTTAAAATTGTTTTTTCCTTTCTAGACACGTTCTAAATCTCTAAAGCCCACCAGACGTATGCTACTGGAATCCTGCATTTCTATTCATTTTGTTAATTTACTCAACAGCATCTAGAACTGTATACTACTATAGCCCAGTGGGCTGTTCAGTAATTTACCAACTGACTGGCAGGCATTCCTTCTAATTTATTCTATTTTTTTCTTTGTTGTTGGCTGACTAGTTTTGTCAGGGGCTGTCAAGAATATGCAAGTTTATATGGTCATATAAAAATGATCTGGTCAACGTCTTTCCTTTAGTTGAGGCTGAGGATTTAGTTGTATATTCTAAATATTTGTCATCTTCCACTCTTAGGAGGATCTAAAAATTCAGGTGGAATGTTTTTGTTGTTGTTGTTTTCTCATTAAAATATAAGACCCGAGGCGGCAGGCAGGGATGGGGAGGGTGGGGGTGGAGTGAAGAGACGTCTCTAAATCCTCAGGGGGTAGTCTGGTAAAAAAGAAGGAAAAGGTAAGCAGACCCCATAGCTTCTTGGTTTTGTTCCTCTTTTTTCCCTCAGGATGGTGGTGGCAGCTGATCAGACACAATAGCTGGCAGTCCCCCGCCTGAATAATGATAAAAATGACCCTCAACAGCACCAGCAGGAGGACTGGGAAAGGGAGGAGGGTGTATGGGAGGGGCGAGGATGTGGGTGACAAGGTGACAAACGCCGCCGCCTCGGCGGGCTACTCCACTTCATCCCGGCGAGGCTAGGAGCTGGTGAGCCACCTCCGGGGATCTGGGGTGGGGTGGGAAGGGGCGACAGGGGGGCGGTGGTATTTCCTACTGGGGGCGGGGCAAAGGGTGGAGGGAAGCCTGAATCAGCAGCCTCTGATTGGCTCGTGTTGCTCGTCGAGTCTCCCGATTGGGCCATTTGCAGCGGGAGATGTTTAGGGAGGCGCGGCGGGGCGGGGCGAGCCGCCTGGGGTCTGCGGCCTGGCCCCGGAATTGGGTGCGGAGGGGCGGCTGCGGCGGTGCCCCGGCCCCGAGCCGCTGACCTGTAGTGTGGGGCAGCGAAGCCACCTGTACTCCATTTCATCAGCAAAGCCGAAGTCGTCCAGCTGCTCTGAAGATTTAAAAAGAAGGAAAAAAATTGAATGAAGAACGCTTCGCTGCGACCCCCTTCCCCCGCCCCGAGAAGCTATTTTGCTGCGGGGCATGAAAGGACACTCCCTTATCTCGAAGTCCCACTTCGCCTCGCAGCCTCTTTCCCCTCCCGCTGCAAAAAAAAAAAAAAAAGCAGCAAAAATTCACCAAGACATGTTCCCCCAAGTCCGGGACTTGCGATCCCTCAATGCCGCACATCTAGCTGTATAATTGTCCCCTCTCCGGCCCTGATGCCGAGCACCGAGTGTCTTCCCAGTGGAAAGCCCGGTTCCTGGCCGCTCCCGCTCACCGGTTCGGGAGATCCGAGAAGGCGGGGAAGGTTTTGTGTGCGCCTGGTTTGGGGGAGGTGGAGGGGGTGAGGGCTCGTAGGTCCCGAGACACTTCGGGAGGCGGGTGGCGAGCCGCCCCCCTCACCACCCCCCTCCCCGGCTAATCCCCCTTCTTCAGCGCCTGTTCCCGGGACCGTATTATTCAAGACAGAAAATATTCAACCCCGGAGCCTCCCCTGGGGAGGGGAGGGGAAGGAGGTGGAGTGGGAGGAGGTGGATCCAGGGAGGAAGAAGCGAGAAATCCACCCCCGGGAAACAGCTCGGCGCGGCTGCGGAGCGAGGCACTTCTGTCACTTGGCGATCGCCGGCGCCGGAGCGCGGCCCCGGCCCGGCCCGGCGAGGCGAGGGGAGAGTCCGGCGGCCGCCGCCGCCCCGCCCCACGCCCTCCCGCGGCGGCCGAGAGCCCGCCGGCTCGGACCAGCTCGCGCTGGGCGTGCGGGGCGCGCTGGCCCTGGGGCTGGGCAGCCCCGTGCGGATCCACTCGCGCCGCTTCCTCCGGTGCGTGTCTGCTAGATTTTCCGCCTTAGCCGCGAGGGCGCAGCGCCCGCGGGCGGGCGGGTGGAGAGCCGGGCTGGTCGCGGGCTCCCTCCCTTCCCGCCACCTCGCCCGGCCAGCGCTGGCGTGGGGCCGGCGGGAGCCCGCGGGAGCGCCGGGTTGGGGCGAAGGGGCCGCGCCCGCGTGTGCGGACGAGGGAGGGCCGGCGGGAGGAGGGAAGGGCACAAAGGCCGGTGGCGGGCGCGGGGGTCCGGCCCGCGGCCGTGGAGGAGGGGCGCCTCCGGGCCGCTCATGAATATTAACCGAGCCTGCGGCCTAGCGCGTCCCGGCCGGGCCCGGCGCCCGGCCCGCGTCCCGGCTCCTGCTCGCCGCTGCGCCCAGCGGGCGGGAAGGGTGAGCCCCTCGCTTTTTGTCTTTCCTCCCGGACTCCATACACCTTTTTCGAAGTACAAATTTAGGCCGCCCGGGAGATCGGGATCACTAACCCGCCTCTGGGAGGGGCGGAGGAAATCGTGGTAGGTGGGTGGTGGTTTTCTTTTTCCTATTTTTTTTCTTCTTCCCCCCTAGGTGGCCACAGGGAAAGGGAAAGATAGTGTCGAGTGGTAGTTCGGGGAGCAGCAACTAAATAAAAGTTGCTTAGGCTACGGCTTCATTTAGGTGGCTCCAGAAGCATGCCCCGGAGAGGGAGCTGCGCCCGAGTCCCGCCCGGCCCCGCGCGGTCCCCACCCAGCCCCGCCGCGGGCCAAGGAAAACAGCCGCCTCCTCGGGGACACCGGCCCGGGCGCAGGGGCAGGCTGCGAGCGCCCGGAGCCACCCAGCCGCTGCTGGCTGCGTCCGAGGCTGGCTTTTTGTTTTTAATTGGGTGGGAAGGGAGCGAGGAAGGGTTTTGAGAAGTATTATCCATATTAGTCTTGTGGAAAGAAAACTTCCCTTAAGTGTACGTATCTGGGTGATGCGACATAAACACTCCTGTTCTGCCCAGAAAATACATTACTTAAATGCACTTGAAAAGGGAATGGTGTTTCTTGAAGGCTGTACAACAGCCAGGCGTGTTTCACGCAACCACCGTGCAGTCTGATGTTTCTTCTCTTTTTTCCTGATTTATAGACTTCTCTTTCTCCTTCTCCTCCTTCTAGTTTCTTCTTTCTTCTCTTTCCCTCCTCTCTCTCCCTCCTCTCTCCCTCTCCCTCTCTCCCTCTCTCCCCCCCCCCCCCAAACTTATTTCATCTTTTATTCGTGTGGTGCATCAGCATGGACCAAATCATTTTTCCAGGTGTAGGAAACTCGCTCTTGGGCTAGACATGTGGCAAGGCTAAGGTCAGAGTCTGGAGAAAGTTCACGCCCTTTAACTTTTCCCTGTTCCAGGAGCGATCTCCTTGGGAGCTGAGCTCGAGCCTTCACGACCTACTCAGATTCATTCCTCTTGGACTCGCGAGGAGGAAGGGGACTGCTTTCTGCAGCTGGCTGCCAAGAAGATCTGTCTTTGTTTTTGAAGTCTTGAGAAATGGACGAAGACGGGGCAGTCAGTTGAAGTCCGAAGACATCATTAGGGCCTTTTGCAGCAGGGGCTTGATACAAACATTCTTTCCCTGGCACAGTATTTGTTTCACCAGCCCTGCCCCTCCTCTGAGCCTGGTGTGGAATCCTTCCCTTTTTGCTGTGTAGCGGCATTTCTCCCCCAATGTGGACTCTAAAGGGTTGGTCCCTTCTTTGTAATTTGAAATGAAATGATGGCTACACGTCGGACTGGTCTGCCTGAGGGAGATGGTGACACGCTCAAGGCTTGCGGGTCCCCCGCCTGTGAGGTAAGCACAAAGGCAATATCCCTGGCCCCTTGTGGCCTGTGTGTGTGTGTGTGTGTGTGTGTGTGTGTGTGTGTGTGTGTGGATGGGGTGTCCTCCCAATGGGAGTTCACTTGCCACTGGGCCTAAAAAGAGGCTTTTGGGGACTTCGAGCTGGTTGGTGGGAGCACTCCAGCCTGACCACTAAGCAAGGTGAAGCCTCGCCCATATTTGTTTCCAGGAACTGCCAGTGGTTCTTTTGCAAGAATGTTTTCCTCACTTTGAAATGTCCCCATCTTGGTCACCTCTAAGCAGGGAATTCTTCCATTTCAGGTGGCTGGGAATACCAAAAGTCTGTTTTCCTTCAGTTCCCATCCTCCCGTAGTTTTGGAGTTAGGCTGGTGGAGGGCTGGCTTTGTGCATTTCGCATGTGCATATCCCAGGTTTGCTCTCCGAGATGGTGGCAGCTGGTGTGCTTGTTGCGTCTGGACCTTAGTCTTAGTCTCTGTTTGACACTGGGTGTCCTAGCTGTTGTTGGTGTGGATCTCTGCTTTGGGTAGAAAAACAAGTCTTTTCCTGTGGTGAGGTTAGGCACAGCCTTGGAAAACTACTTTATAGAGTTGCAATTCCAACTCCCTGAAAAATCTCCTGCCTTTACTGGCCTTTTATTCAGGCCCTTTCACTGCTCAGAAGTCCTGTGAACTGCTCTGGGTTGTCAGGTGGCTTGCGCTGCTGCGTTCAGTCCAGCGTCTTTGGAAGGGCCAAGATTTAATGCCAGGCTTCCTGAAATATTTCCAGCAGGCAGGACAGAAATCATAGAAAATCCATTGATTTTTGACCCCCGTATGCCCTGTTGCTTTTCATCTTTTTTTCTCCTTATATTTCGGGTTTACTTCTATAATGACTATATTGTGTTTAGTTTGTTATTGACGGTTTCTGTAATTTGCTTGCTAAACGTACTGAGTGTTGTTGTCTGTGTAAACTTTACTTTTGAGATGCCTATAGTTTTATTGAAAGATTGAAGGTTGCTTTAGAGAGCAATAACATCCCCAAATGAGCCTTCAGTCTTGTTCATTTTGTGCCTCGTGTTAAATTCGAATTTCATGGTTATTGAAACAAGTCTAGTTCTCAGTGTGTGAGTTTTGTATTTTAATAAAAATGAATCAGAAGTTAAATTTTTGTTTGTAAAGCATGCAGAGAAAATTACATCATGCAGCTTACTTCATATTGGGTTAGAAAGTATATGCAGGAAATAGTGAGGTAGGTACAGCAGATTTATTGGAACTACAGGTTTACAGTTAGAATCAGTGTTTTACTTTTTGACACCTGTAAACACCTGCTTGCAGGTAAAAAAATGTGATTAAGTATAACATCATAGTCCTCTGATCTTGGTAAACCATAATCACTCCTTTTGGAAGGCCTACCTACAACTTGGTGATTGCTTAATGTGTATTATAGTTACATAATAATATGTACTGAGGTCCTAAAGCTTTATTTATTATTGTCTAGTGAATACTTTAATTAGCATTCCATTTGCATTATATTTGCAAGAACTAATGTTACTTGAAAAAATATATATATATATTTTTTTTGTCATTTAAGGGATGTCCTGAAACCAAGAATTTGTAATAAACACATCTTGTCCTTGGCTTACAAGGCAGTGTTTCCAGTTGCAAACTTGGCTTTTATTAACAGTGACAGCTATGTATTTTTTTAAGGGCTGTGAAATTTGTTTTCATTTGGACCTTACTGCTGGCATGATCACATTATTTCTAGCTTGGAAACCAGGAAAACACTGTATTGTATGTATTTTGCTCATTTAAAGACTACATACATACTTGAGTTTGTATTAAACTATGATATTGTTTGTTGTTTTGAAGAATAGGTAGTTTTCTTGGATTCTCTTTCTTGGAAATAGAAATAAAGAGCGATATGCTGTCAGACAACAAACACTTCATAGTCTCAGGGTGAGGCGTGAGGGCAACTTTTATAGCTACTGTCTCTGTTTAATTATTGATGCTTCCGATGTACATTAAATCTTGTGGCTATTTATTAGTAATAAGAGAGTTGCCACAGGAATACTTTGGGTATCAACTTTGGGTTGATAGACATTTAAGTCTTTGAACACTGCACTTAATTTTTGTGTTTAATTATTAGAAGTATTACATTCTAGAGTAGTACTGTCATTGTTTAAAAAAAATTTAAAGCCCGATAACTGTGTTTCTGAATGTGTGTTTGAAGAACAAATTTGTGTTTTTACCTAACCAGGAGATGAGCATGTATGTCTTAATATTAATGCTGTCAATCAGTCAAAAAACTTAACTTTGTAGGACAGAAGAAATCCATGTAGTAAGTTAATAAGAGTCTGTTTCATGCCTTATCTAAATATTGGGTTGTCGGAAAAGTCATGATGCATTTTTGCAACGAAAAACATAGAAAAAATGCGTCATGACTTTTTCGACAGCCCAATAATTAGCTAAGTGCACCTTCTATGAATAAGGTCTATTGCTTGTTGAAAAATAATCAGAAATTTCTTGTTCATCTTAAGAATTAGAATCTAATTGTTTTGCTATATGAATAAATTTATGTACCACCCCTCTACCCCACCCCCCCCAGAATATTGGAAAGTTAAAAAACAGTTAAGAATCCTCTTCAAATAAAGAATTGTGACAATCCAGTAGAATAGATTTTGGCGTTATGCTCTAAGGATGGCACCTTGTGTTCACACAAAATTTGATACTTTGCACGTTGAAAGATGTATTTTTCAATATTAGTTTTACTTACTCCGAGCCAAATGTGTTTTTTTGTTTGTTTGGGTTTTGTGTGTGTGTGTGTGTGTGTGTGTGTGTGTGTGTGTGTGCGCGCAGTCTGATCTGAGAAGTATTCTGAGACCTAGGCTTGAGTAACTACATCCCCCCCTTTTTTTTAAAATTTTATTGGGAACAGCCATGGTCATTGATTACACATTGCTATGCTACAATGGCATAGTTGACTCTTTTAGGGAGGGCGCAGCTTGCAGTGACCTATGCGGGGATCGAACCGGCAACCTTGGTGTTATTGGCACCATGCTCTAACCAACTGAGCTAACTGGTTACCCCCACACCCCCCTTTCTTACCATATAGTAGTCATCCTTTGAGGTTCAACTTGCTTTTGTTTGTTTTTTAAGCCAAAGGTGAAAAAATTTTCCTCAGCTTTGTTGACCCCATTATTTTTCCCATTTCTAACATTTATTTCACTTTTTACCTGTAGCTCATAGTGTTGTCCAAGTATTTGGCACTTTCACCTATTATTAAAACAAACATATACTAATGGTAATTATTTTATTTCATTGTATCTTTTGCTTCTTCACCTAGGCTATACGACTAGACTGTGTTATTGCTAATGGAAAGTATTAGTTGGTTGATTTTGGAACAGTGTAAATAATAAAATAAGGCATGCTTCTGTGTATGAATTCACATGAAGATGCATACTTTTGCTCTTCTTTCTTGAATATACACTATACACTTTGCTTTTATCCCAGAATCCCTTGTTCCTTCTCCGGCTCGCCCTCTCCCTCCATATCTTTCCCTCTTACTCTCCCCCCCCACCCCCCCTTAGGGTTCTTCTTC